TCCTTTGCTTTGTAGCTTTAGTTTACAACTGATATTTTTTTCAGAACAGCCGTTTTACGGAAATTATTCGACATTAGATTCTCATACAAACACTGTAATTTCTCACGCGTTTGCCTACTCGTCAAGATGGCATCGAAAACCGTGACAAGGTCTATTGGTAACCTCCATTTCTAACGTACTTAACTAAGTACTCCGAAAATTCCTCATTTACAAACCCCTAACTGCTAAGCGACGAAAGACGGAAACACTGCAAGACAAAAGCATGCTCAAGATCTCAAATTCCCATTTTTGGTGTTCTTATCATGCAAAGTCTGTGAAACATAGCTAGGTAAAACCTTTCTTACCGATTTTTGGATAGTCACTGCATAGTCTAGTGTTTTGCTGTCGTCATTTGCATCTCAGACTGTTTGAAATCACATGAGCTCGTTATTTTTGTTCCATTAATTTCTCCTTTTAAAATCATTTTGTTTAAGAAGTCATATTAAACAATCGACACAATATCTCATGATTACCTCAAAGTTCGTTAAAAATACTCCGCTGCACGATGCGCTTCGTATTCTCAACTCTCTTCTCAGTGTTTGTTCTTGTGATGAAACACTGCACCTCGTGTTTATAAACTTGACGTAGTTTTTTACGTATGTCTCCTTTTCTGCAGCCACCGATTTATGGAGCATATCTTTACGATGCTGTGTATCAGTATGCCATTGTACTAAACAAAACGCTGGAGAAGAATCAACCCGCCACAGGTGAAATCATCGCAAAAAAGATGCAAGACGTACAATATGATAGTAAGTAAAGTAAGCAAGCCATAAGCATCTTCCAGCTCCTACTGAATTTCCGTTTTGCATGTTGAAGTCAGACGAGCAAACTTCACCATCAAGCCTCGTTTTGAAATTAAAAAGTTGGAAAGTTTTTGCATAAATGAATATCCATTGCAATAGAGTTGAAAAGAATAATCTCACACAGAGGGTGCACATTCGAAGAAGCTCGTTCGAAATCGAGATTTGGTGGTGAAATTTGCTCATCTGACATAAACATGCATCAGGGCCATTTTGTGTTTTTCATTCATGATGCCCAGAACCCACTTCTTTAGTAGCTATTATAAACTTAGTTGCCCTGTATAAGGCCATTAAAACAAACTGTTGGATCCCATTTAAACACTTCATGCACTAATTGTCGAAAGAGTTAAAATTTGAACGCTTCATGGCTTATTGTTGAAAGAGTTAGCGCCGGTCTGCTGAGCGGGAGTTGGCGGGTCAAAACCCCGGCCGGACCAACCCTCAGAGTCTTAAAAAAATAACTGAGGAGAATGTGCTGCCTTTGTTATGACATCTACGAATTGTTAGACATTCTATTTTTTTTTTTTCGGATAAAGAAGAAAAACGGTAGGCCCCGTCTCACAGCTGTTTCACTGTTCCGACTCTTGTGGGACGTGAAAGAATCCACAATGCTGTTCGTAAAGAGTAGGGGGCGTAGACCCTGGTGGTGTGGTACAACCTTTCATCGGCTAGGTGGGTAATGAAGGGGTGGATATCAATTGGGACGCTAGTCCTGTTTCATCCCCTGTCACCGTGTTGTGACACCGTGGCGAATTCAATAATTAAAGTAAAGTTCAATAAAGAGATAGATTAAAGCATTTATCTGCGTTGCGGCGTTCAAAACGCTTTTATGTCTACAGTTTCCTATTACCATTAAAACTTCAAGGAAGGTGAGATGGAGCTTTTTTTTTGAAGTTTGAAATACACGTTGATTCAGTTGCATTCGGTTTCAGGCATACTTGGTTACAAAATTAACTTTGACACTAATGGTGATGCAGAGTTTAACCTGACGTTGCTGGATATGCAGCCGATAGGTAAGCGGATGTTGATTATGGCTTTTTCTAACTATTCATTTTTCTATTAGACTGACCCCTTTCCTTCGTTTTTCAATAGATGTGTAGTAATCCAGAGGTATCATACAAAAAGCTATATCCCACCTTTATTCGTACATTTGCCATTGACACGAAACTTACATTAAGTCTGCTATCACTTCTTAATTACTTCAACTGGAAAAGAGTGGCAATCATTTACGAAAACGTGACGAAATGGATAGAAATGAAGACCAACATAGTGAAGGGATTAAAAGCGAATGGAATTACCGTAGCTCAAGAACTGTTAACACATCATTCAGCGCTTTACAGGCCACAGAATGACAGTCATTATTACAGAGGGATCTTGAGAAAAATCAAGCAGGAAGCTCGGAGTATGTATTCCTAGTTTCCCCTTCAGTAACATAGGACCAGAGTTACTGAGAGAGGTTACTCCCCCATATGACACGAAATGGTCCCTTAAGTTATTTTTAGCAATATAAAATGGTAAGAAATTTAGATTAATTTTTTTTTACTTTCAGTTATCTTCAAAACCTTAACAAATTTGTCGTTTGCGGTTTTGTTGGATCCTAAGAATTTTGTCCCAATAATCACTTTAAATTTGTTATTATCTTTTTCAGTTGTGGTCTATGTGACTGACTTTCACATTGCTCGGGAAGGAATGCTCCACGCATACGACGAAAACATGACAAATGGAGACTACGTGTTTATAATTTTTGAACTTGATCAAGCTCAAGTAGGAATCAAGACTGACCAGCCTTTCAAGTGGTTTTTTAGCAGCCACAAAAGTACACTTCACCGCTATGATCAGGTGAAACAAGCTTTCGAGGCTGCTTTCGTCTTGGCTGTCAAAAGCCCTTCATCGAAAAGTTATGTGAACTTTACGGAGGAGTTGAAGATTCGGTCCACAGATGAGCCATTCAACAGCGCAGCTTACACGGGGTATTTATTTCAGCGAAAGACAGACCGTTTCTTGGCAAACAAAACTAAGGTACGAAGTGGACCTTTGAAGCACTATGGGCAAGTTGTTTGTGTTGTTGGGAATAATTACACCAGGCTTAGCTTTAATTGGTAACCTCCATTTCTAACTTACTCAAGTAAGTACTCCGAGAATTCCTCATTAACAAACCCCTAACTGCTAGGAGATGAAAGACGCAAACACTCTACAAGACAAGAGCATGCTCAAGATCTTAAATTCCCATTTCTGGTGTACTTATCATACAAAGTCTGTGAAACATGGATCTTAAAAAACTCTAGACTTTTGTCATTCCTTGGGTCCTGTAGGTAAAACCTTTCTTACCGATTTTTGCATAGTCATTTGTATCTCAGCTAGACTTGTTTGAATATCAAACGAAAACTCCTTATTTTGTCTTAATTTATTTTCCCTTAATTTATCCTTTTGAAATCATTTTGTTTGAGAATTCACACCAAACAATCGACACAGTATCTCATGACCTCCAAGTTCGTTAAAATTCTCCGCTGCACTTCGTACTCTCAACTCTCTCCTCAGTGTTTGTAATTGCGATGAAACACTGCTCCTCGTGTTTAAACTTTAAAGCGCTGAAGTAGTATGTTACGTATATCTCTTTTTCTGTAGCCACCGATTTATGGAGCATATCTTTACGATGCTGTGTATCAGTATGCCATTGCACTAAACAAAACGCTGGCGAAGAATCAACCCGCCACAGGTGAAATCATCGCAAAAAAGATGCAAAACGTACAATATGACAGTAAGTAAGCCGGCCATAAGCATCTTCCAGCTCGTACTGAATTTCCGTTTTGCATGTTGAACTCAGACGAGCAAACTTCACCATCAAGCCCCGTTTTGAAATTAAAAAGTTGGAAAGTTTTTGCATAAATGAATTTCCATTGCAGTAGAGTTGAAAAGAATAATCTCACACAGAGAGTGCACATTCGAAGAAGCTCGTTCGAAATCGAGATTTGGTGGTGAAATTTGCTCGTCTTACATAAACATGCATCAGGGCCATTTTGTGTTTTTCATTCATGATGCCCAGAACCCAATTCTTTAGTAGCTATTATAAACTTAGTTGCCCTGTATAAGGCCATTAAAACAAATTGTTGGATCCCATTTAAACACTTCATACACTAATTGTCGAAAGAGTTAAAATTTGAACGGTTCATGGCTTATTGTTGAAAGAGTTAGCGCCGGTCTGCCGAGCGGGAGATGGCGGGTCCAAACCCCGGACCAACCGTCAGGGTCTTAAAAAAATAACTGAGGAGAATGTGCCGCCTTTGTTATGACATCTACAAACTGTTAGACATTCTATTTTTGTTTTTTTTTTCGGATAAAGAGGAAAAACCGTAGGCCCCGTCTCACAGCTGTTTCACTGTTCTGACTCTTGTGGGACGTGAAAGAACCCACAATGCTGTTCGTAAAGATTAGGGGGCGTAGACCCTGGTGGTGTGGTACAACTTTTCATCGGCTAGGTGGGTAATGAAGGGGTTGATATCAATTGGGACGCTAGTCTTGTTTCATCCCCTGTCACCGTGTTGTGACACCATGGCGAATTCAATAATTAAAGTAAAGTTCAATAAAGAGATATATTAAAGCATTTATCTGCGTTGCGGCTTTCAGAGCGCTTTTATGTCTACAGTTAATTCAGTTGCATTCGGTTTCAGGCATACTTGGTTACAAAATTAACTTTGACACTAATGGTGATGCAGAGTTTAACCTGACGTTGCTGGATATGCAGCCGATAGGTAAGCGGATGTTGATTATGGCTTTTTCCGGGGCGTGTGGAAGGATATTCCTGGGGTCAGGGATTTACCCAAAAACAGCGCTGAATTCGGGAAACGTAAACGGAATACAAGATTTGACTGATTTGACTTTTACCGGAGAAGCGGCACCGATTGCAAACAAGGTTTGTGATTGGCTGGGAAAACAATAGGGATGGTGACATAACAATGCCCCTTTCTCCGAAAACAACAGGTAGTGCAGGTCAGGGACCAATGAAANTTTTCGGATAAAGAAGAAAAACGGTAGGCCCCGTCTCACAGCTGTTTCACTGTTCCGACTCTTGTGGGACGTGAAAGAATCCACAATGCTGTTCGTAAAGAGTAGGGGGCGTAGACCCTGGTGGTGTGGTACAACCTTTCATCGGCTAGGTGGGTAATGAAGGGGTGGATATCAATTGGGACGCTAGTCCTGTTTCATCCCCTGTCACCGTGTTGTGACACCGTGGCGAATTCAATAATTAAAGTAAAGTTCAATAAAGAGATAGATTAAAGCATTTATCTGCGTTGCGGCGTTCAAAACGCTTTTATGTCTACAGTTTCCTATTACCATTAAAACTTCAAGGAAGGTGAGATGGAGCTTTTTTTTTGAAGTTTGAAATACACGTTGATTCAGTTGCATTCGGTTTCAGGCATACTTGGTTACAAAATTAACTTTGACACTAATGGTGATGCAGAGTTTAACCTGACGTTGCTGGATATGCAGCCGATAGGTAAGCGGATGTTGATTATGGCTTTTTCCGGGGCGTGTGGAAGGATATTCCTGGGGTCAGGGATTTACCCAAAAACAGCGCAGAATTCGGGAAACGTTAACGGAATACAAGATTTGACTGATTTGACTTTTACCGGAGAAGCGACACCGATTGCAAACAAGGTTTGTGATTGGCTGGGAAAACAATAGGGATGGTGACATAACAATGCCCCTTTCTCCGAAAACAATAGATAGTGCAGGTCAGGGACCAATGAAATAAGAGCTTTAGAAGGGTGTTGGTCAAGGAAATTCTCCACACTAGTGCGGGATCCGGAAGAAAACGATATTCGTGATAGCGATGAGTGAATTTCGGGATGCGGGATTCTCGTGAAAAAAGAGCGGGAATACGGGATCAGTACCAACCCCATCTCCCTTTCAGACCCTAGAATACACCTGTCAAAGTTTAGTAATCGCGCTTTCTTATTTTTTTCCAGAAAAAAGTGCAGAACACGAGATGATTCCAGTCGGTAATTTCCAAATCAAGCACAACAATAAGACCAAAAAGGGGGAACAAGTTTTTGTTCGGCGGTCAGGCATTGCCATCAAATGGCCCGTTGGACGAACCGGTCCCCCACGGGACTCCCTTAATGTGGTTTTCACGGGGAACTTTGTATCGGACTAATACGAGAAGGTATAGTTATAAACCAATCGTTAATATCTTGGTCTTTTTACTGGAATCCGGAATACACGGCGTGGGACCCAGAATCCGAGACTCTCTTACATTCCTTTACATGCGGTTAAACAGTCCTATAACTTACGTTTTAAGACCGAATCCATCAGAAAATTGAGTAATTGCAATTTTCAGTGGACAAAAAACCTTGTACCAGAATAATTTAAGCAATATCGTATTCATTTTTACATTTTTCAAGGGCTATAGATATAATTTGTCATCTGCAATAACACCTGTCCAAAGACTATTTCTCAAGGGACCCCGAGAAAATAAATGGCAAATTTCACAAGAATTGTGAAAACACAGGCAAAATTCTGAAAATTTTATGTGTCGGATGTCATTTTGTGAAATTTGACATTTATTTTCTTAGGCTCTCGTAAGAAATTATTTTTGGTGTTATTACAGATAACTAATTACATCTGAAGCCCTTGAAAAATGTAAAAAATAATGCGATATTGTTTAAATTATTCTGGTACAAGGTTTTTTTCCACTGAAAATAAAAATTACTCAATTTCCTGATGGATTCCGTCTTAAATGCCTGGATCAAAGTTCGTCTTTACATAGAACTGGACGAAAAAATGGCGCACGGAGAGTCCCTGTATTTTAGTTACGCACGTGTCACGTGACCGTTTTATGACAGCCTACACGGTGAAAAGAAACTACAAATGCCTGGAGAATGATAGTTGTCAACATTTTTTGTTAATTGCTCTCTAAAGGAGGGCGGAACAGTCAAAATGAGGTGCATTTTGTTAGTTGTATATTTCTGTAACTTGTAATTTGCTAAATATGAAAGCTTTTCTGTTAGCGATTTTCTAAAGAGAACGTTATGTTTCGTTTTTA